CTCTTGCTCTGATGACCAAGAACATGAGACTTCAGTGTAGATCTAAGAAAGGTAGAGGGTGGGTCCTCACAGGACCACAAAATTTGGTGGTGGTGGGAACATGCCTGGTGGAGCATGCCTTGCTCCAGATCAGGGTGTGACACATTGATGCAGATTATATTACTTTAGAATATGATGGTCTCAGGGACCAGGCAGGATTTTGGCTTCCAAGCAGGGTTCAGATCCCAGCTCGGCCCTACCGGTGCGATGAGATCTCAAGCAGGTCAGCCTCTAAGCCTCAGGTTCTTCCTTTGCCAAACCAAGAGATGAGCTGGCCTGTGGCGGGCTGTGTGGTGATGGTGCTGGGGTCGAGTCTTCTGTCCCCGCAGGTGGTCTATGTTGCCCGCAACGCAAAGGACGTGGCGGTCTCCTACTACCACTTCTACCACATGGCCAAGGTGCACCCTGACCCTGGGACCTGGGACAGCTTCCTGGAGAAGTTCATGGCCGGAGAAGGTGGGTGTGACGGGAGGAAGGAGGGTGTGGAGCCGAGAGGTGGTGGCTACAACGCACAGTAACCCTGTGTCGCTGCCCCCTGCCCGCTTCTCCAGTGTCCTACGGGTCCTGGTACCAGCACGTGCAGGAGTGGTGGGAGCTGAGCCACACCCACCCTATTCTCTACCTCTTCTATGAAGACATGAAGGAGGTGAGACCACCTGTGATGCTTCCCCTCATGTGACACCTGGGGGCAGGCACCTCACAGGGACCCGCCAAGGCCACCCAGCCACCTCCCTGGGCGGCCCCCACAACAGGCCCAGATTCCCCATCCTGCCTCCCTGGCCCAGGCCTCCCCGCTACAGCCCCACCTGGCAGCGGGTCCCACACAGCTCTCATCTCCTGTGCCTGAGTCAGCTGCATGGGTGGCCACGGATTAGCTGCTTTTTTTTGAGACCAAGTCTTGCTCTGTTGTCCAGGATGGCGTGCAGTGGTGTGATCTCAGCTCAGTATAACCTCCCCCTCCCAGGTTCAAGTGATTCTCCTGCCTCAGCCTCCTGAGTAGCTGGGATTACAGGTGCACACTGCCACGCCTGGCTAATTTTTGTGTTTTGCCATGTTGGCCAGGTGGGTCTCCATCTCCTGAGCTCAGGTGATCCGCCTGCCTCAGCCTCCCAAAGTGTTGGTATTACAGGCCTGGACCATGGTCACCCTCCATGGATCAGCTCTCTATTCCGATTCCTTCTCCCTGCCAACGGTTATGCCACCCAGGGCCACAGTCACGGAAGAAGACCATCCTGGTCCTCACCCATAGGAGCCAAGCCCAGCTCATGATGGGATCACAGGGACCGGGGCCCCGGGGATCGAGGAGCTGGCTCTGTGGGTTTTCTAGTGGAAGTGGCCAGTTCCCCTCTGAGGTTAGAGAAGGGGACCCCTTTTATTTTCCTGAATCAGCAAACCTAGCCTCCACTGAGGAGCCTCTGCTCCTCAGAACCCCAAAAGGGAGATTCGGAAGATCCTGGAGTTTGTGGGGCGCTCCCTGCCAGAGGAGACCGTGGACCTCATGGTTCAACACACGTCATTCAAGGAGATGAAGAAGAACCCTATG